ACGACGCGCGCGCGCTCCACCAGTCCTCTGACAGTTGAGCGACAACCGACTTGGTTGGGGGGTGCCCCTCCCCCGTGGCTCCGAGACGGCCCCTGCGATAACCTGGAGCATCGCAATCAGCATTCAAACACTCATCGCGGCCCCAATGGTTGGCCCAATCATGATCTACACGCTCCTCATTGCATCGTCATTCGCCCGCCCGTTCCAGCTCGGGTTAGCCCGGGCCCAACGATCGCCGCCACGACCAACCACATGGCGGCCGACGACGGCGGCGCCAGCATCGCCTGCACCTTGGCAATGGCCATCCTCGTCGGCGGCGCGGTCCAGAGCGCGATTGCGACATGGCTCTGGGAGCGGCTGTGCCCGAAACGTCTGACGCCGACTGACGCCGCGACCGCCCACGCGGCGGTGCCGACGCCGACCGCCGCCATCCACATGGCGGCGCCGCCGCCGCCCGCGACGCCGACGCCAACGGCGCCGACCGACGCCACGGTGCCACCGCCGACGCCAGCGGCGCCGACGCAGACGCCGATGACGCGAACGGCATCTACGCAGAGCCAAACCACCTACAAATGGCGGTGGAGTGAGCCTAGGTTCATGCCGCTCCCGGAGAACTCTCACGGCGCAGGGCTGATCGACCCTTTCTGGAATCCGCGCCGTGGCTGACCCAGGACACGGCGGAATCTGCACGCGCGTTGGAAATCAACGCATCGGCTGCTTCGGCCGTAGCAATTTTTGAAGAAAAAACATCGCCATCGCAACCTCCATCTTCGCTCTCTCGTTCCTCCGTCTCGACTTCCCATTCCATCATGCGTCCTTCTGCCCCTCCCATCCCTCCCCTGCGATGCGAGATATCATTGGTGGTCCACTCCCCCTCCTCCTGGCCCCCCCCCCCTCTCCTCAGTGAGATGCTTCGCCGAGGCCCGAAAAGATAAGTTCAGCACGGATGCCCCAGAAGGACCCATGTTATATGTTCAGCCATGATAGGCTCAGCATGGAGGCCCGAAAATGACCCATTATAGGTTCAGCAAGGAGGCCCAAACATTACCCATTATGGGTTTAGCTTGAAAGGGCCCTCCTCCTCCTGCTTTGAATGGGCCCTCCTCCTCATCAGCACCCCCTGCTCCAACGCGCCCCGGGCCACCCCCGCTCGGGCGTGGGCGGGCCCCCGGCCATCATCAACACCCCCTGCTCCAACGCGCCCCGGGCTACCCCCACTCGGGCGTGGGCGGGCCATTGGCTGCTTCGGCCACGCCGCTCTCATCCTCCCTTCTCCTCCTCCGTAGCCAGTTTCTGGCTCACTTTGAACGGGCTCCCCTCGTGTTTAATTACATGACACCAATGAACGGGCCGCCCCATGACTGGGGCATCGTGCGCGGCGCAAATGGCGTTCGACACCATGTGGTCGGGCCGCGCGGCGGGCCCTGCACCTCCCGCCCGAGATCGACGCCGATGGGGGCCGGGTGGCCCGACGCCTTCCGACGAGGACGCGGCTCAAGCCATGAAGACCCACCGGGAAGTCGACAAGGCGCACGCGGTGGCGAAGGACACGGTCAGCCACACGAGCGGGATTGGTGCCACGGCCAAGATGATGGGGCAGATGTTGGCTGCGCACCGGAAGATGCTCTTCATTACCAAGAATGTCTTGCTTGGGCATGGTGATCTGCGTTATGCCGCTCCGCTCCGCATTTTGCCGCCCTCGGCTTATCGGTTGCGGGCCAGGCTGATCAGGGGGCTAGCTGCCCAAATGGACCACGTCACGGCGATGTTGATCCAGATCAAGCTTCTTCAGAGGATTGCGGAAGATCCCGATGACGCCGCAGATTCTGCGTTGGGCCCGTGGGTCGACGACGCCGACGCCGACGCCGACGCCCACGGCGCCTCTGAGGCGGAGCCCGCCGCGGCGCCAGGCAGTAGCTGACTGCGCCGCTAATCGGCTGCTTCGGCCGAGATAGGTTTGGAAAAATATGTATCCTCCTCCACTTCCCTCCTCCTCCTCCTCTCAATCCTGCTTTCCTTCCTCCAGCCTCCGCTTCATCATTTTGACAAGGAACGTGCCATGCCGTCCTCGAAACGTCACGCGGCGGCTGGGCTATGATCACACTCGCTGCCCAGTCCGCCAGCTGCGTCTTGAATTACCGGCTACCTCCGCTGATCAAGGACTCCGAGGGCCTCGGGCAAAAGCTCTTGAGCCCCCCCCCACTCCGCTGTCGTTGGGGATCAATGAGGCATCTATTCGAAGCAGAGAACACAATCGCGCACAAGTCTCTGACGCACGTGGAAGTGAAACAAACGACCCGCCCCGCAGTTCGTGAAAGTTAAACCCACTGATCACTGCGGCAGGCGGGCGCGCGGGCATGGCCGAAAAAGCCACTGGAATCGTGCGATGCGGCAACCCTTTTCCCCCCTCCCCGTGAACCTTCCTCACCACGTTTGCACCCCTTTGTTCTGCTTGTCCCAATCGCTGCAGTAGGCGTGGACCATGTTTACTATCATGTCTGTGTCGATCTTCGGGTCGAAATGCAAACGAAAATAGATTCTCGCCAACTTCACCCATTGCCCCCTGTTGTACGCAGTACGATCCCATTGTACAAACCTAAGGCGTTCGGGGGGTGTTAGGTCCCCCATGAAGGATCCCATTATCATATGTATAACGGGCCCATGATGGCACCCGGGGGGGAGGAGGTTCCTCCTCCATGGCGACTTGAACCTGAATGCTATGATATACTATGAGATGATAGGCAATGCTACTGCTTATCACGCATGCGTGTGCTCGGGCACGCGCTGGGGGGGGGGTAATGCAATCGCCCGGAGCCTCGAAAAGGACCCCTCGGGCGACGCGCGTGCATGGCAGGCTTGCGGTATCGATGCGGCGCCGCACTTGGAAGCGTAGTGCACTCGACGCTGGACTGTCTTCTCCTTGCCCCAAGAACCTCGACGCTGCATTATCGCCATCATCGCCACGTTAATGAATGATGTGTTGATATGGGAAGTAGAGAAGGATGGGGAAGGGAACGTGATGAGGAGAGCTCGGTGCCTCTTGGCGGACACTTAAGTTTGAGGGGAGGTCCCGAGCACTTAACTTAATTTTACCTGCTATCCAAATATAAACAATCACATTTGTTTTTATTGGTCCCGATTGCCGACCACATCGAAATACCAAAGCTTAAAAAATACGTCCAAATCAAGGTAAGACAACGTTGCACTCGGGCCCAGCGGTGCTCCTGATCCTCTCAGGCGTCGCCCTGGATGCGTGGCGCGTCCTCTCCCGCAGTTTATGGGGCTGGTGTACATGATGCGCCGCTGAAGGCACCACCACCAGCTTTTTGCCTCCCGGTACTTCGCCTCCGGGTTCCTGTTCAAGGCGTTCCTTTGCATGCACTTCGCTCTCGGCACCGCCTGATCCCGGGGCTTTGCCCTCGATTGGCCTTGACGTGAGGCCCCTCCTTCTATTTCCCAACCATCCTGTGGTGTTGGGTCCTCGTTTTGAAGAGACGGTGCCCCGCGTCCTCTCCTCTCCTCCTCCTCCCCCTCCTCCTCCCTCCTCCTCCCTCTCCTCCCTCCTCCCTGCGTTTCACCCACCCATTACAGCGCTTCGTGGCTCCATAGGGAGCTCCACCGAAGGCCCCAGCGGCAGGGTCCGCATGCAGTTCCACCTCCATTTCGGCGCCCCCCTCACACGTTTCGTGGCCCCATAGGGTGCTCCACCGAGACCCCAGTGGCAGGGTCCGCATGCAGTTCCACCTCCATTTCGGCGCCCCTCACACGTTTCGTGGCCCCATAGGGTGCTCCGCCGAAGGCCCCAGTGGCAGGGTCCGCATGCAGTTCCACTTCCATTTCGGCGCACCCCTCACACGTTTCGTGGTCCCATAGGGTGCTCCACCGAAGGCCCCAGTGGCAGGGTCCGCATGCAGTTCCACCTCCATTTCGGCGCACCCCTCACACGTTTCGTGGCCCCATAGGGTGCTCCACCGGCCCCAGTGGCAGGGTCCGCATGCAGTTCCACCTCCATTTCGGCGCACCCCTCACACGTTTCGTGGCCATAGGGTGCTCCACCGAAGGCCCCAGTGGCAGGGTCCGCATGCAGTTCCACCTCCATTTCGGCGCACCCCTCACACGTTTCGTGGCCCCATAGGGAAGGCCCCAGTGGCAGGGTCCGCATGCAGTTCCACCTCCATTTCGGCGGTTTCGTGGCCCCATAGGGAGCTCCACCGAAGGCCCCAGCGGCAGGGTCCGCATGCAGTTCCACTTCCATTTCGGCGCACTCCTCACACGTTTCGTGGTCCCATAGGGTGCTCCACCGAAGGCCCCAGGGGCAGGGTCCGCATGCAGTTTCACTTCCATTTCGGCGCACCCCTCACACGTTTCGTGGCTCCATTGGGTGTTCCGCCGCGCACCCCTCACACGCTTCGTGGCCCCATAGGGTGCTCCGCGGAAGGCCCCAGTGGCATGGTCCGCAGGCAGTTCCACTTCCATTTCTTCGCACCCCTCACCACACGTTTCGTGGCCCTATAGGGTGCTCCGCCGAAGGCCCCAGTGGCAGGGTCCGCATGCAGGTCCACTTCCATCTCCGCGCACCTCTCGCACGTTCCGCGGCCCCATAGGGTGCTCCACCCAAGGCCCCCGTGGCAGGTCCGCATGCAGTCCCCCCTCCATGTCGGCGCACCCCTCACACGTTTCGTGGCCCCATGGAGTGTTCCACTCAGGGCCCCAGTGGCAGGTTCCGCATGCAGTTCCCTCTCCATTTCGGCACACCGTGTCCACGTTTCGCGGCCACCAAAGGCCCTGGTGGCAGCGCCCGCACGTGGTTCCACCCTGCATTTCCGCGCACCCCTCACACGTTTCGTGGCCTCAAATGGGGCTGCAACGACGGTTCCGGTGGCAGCGTCCGCATGGCGTACCCGTGCCAATTTTGGCACCCCCGTCACACGCGTCGTGGCCCCAGAGGGAGGTTCACCGAGGACGATACCCACACCTGCGTTACACTCAGCTGCACATGGTTGGGTCCTTCGCCGGAATAATTTCCTTCCTCCGTGAATTAAACCTGTGCGCGGCCCGCTTAGCTTCGACCGGAAGAGGCTCGCTCTCGACCAGCGGATGTTGGCGGGCGGCAAGCCTCCGATGTTACTGGACAGGCGCCGATGCTGGCGGCAAGCCTCCGATGCTACTGGATAGGCGCCGAACGCTCGCTACAGCGCCCTGCCGAGAGCTCCGCGACAAGCTCCCCAACTTGAGGTTGGGCACAAAGAAAATTCAGCAGCGCCTCAGGGCATGCGAAGCCACACAAGCGTGTAGAGGGCGTCAATGCGAGGGGGAGAAGACGAGGACGACGAAGGAGGACAAGGGACGAGGAAAGGGAATGGGGAGAAACGAAAACGGCCGCCCCCACCACCATACCGCCAGCGAGGATGCCGGCGAGGCGGCTGGCGAAATGACCATCAGCGCTGTGCGAGGGCCAGACACCTGCCTCTACATTCGCCACAGACCAGCCATGCATTGTAATTGCCATTACTCCAGTCAGCAGACCACAATTCAACGTCGCACACAAATGGCATAGCACACAACAGGCTGCGCTGCCAGGCCTGCTGTCACCGCGTTGATGCGACAGAGGGCCGACGGTTCGTAAGACTCTGAGGGGCGAAGCGCCTGGCAGGCAAACTGTCGTCGCCTGGCGGGACACCAGCACCGCAGACAATCTGCCCGCCAGTCGACAAGAAGGCCGACGCTTGGAGGCCGAGATCAAATCTCCAGCGAAAAAAAATGTTCTAGGGAAGACGGGCCCATATCAGGCGGCAGCCGCATCAAGCGGGAGCCGATTTTGTTACAACTGGGCGCCAAACAACGCATTCTGAGTCTCGAGGATTTCCCTTGTAAGAAACAGAGTGCGAGCCCCAGGGTGAGCACGTCAGTTGAAAAAAACAAAACGGGCACCAGGGATGAGGGATCAACCATAATCAGTGGTTCGACATGAGCATTCAACAACGATCAGTTTGAGACTCTGATCAGCTCGCGTGTCGCTCAACCTGTATATCCCGAGCCCTCGATAACCGCCCTCAACGTCTTAGATCATAACCCCTTGGGGGTATATCTTGGGGGCGTAGCTGGCGCAGCCGTTTAGACAGGGAGGAACAAAAAGACACGACAAGGAGAGAGAAGGAAGACGCACGGCAGAGATGAGGGGGATCAGAGGTAGAAGATCACGCGGCAGAACCAGACCGGCGGGGAGGGTCGGGCGGGCCACGGCGGTCATAACGGCGGGGCCGAACGGGCGGGTCGTTGAAACGTCAGTCCCACATGGATCCCGATGAAGTCTCGAGCGATAGCGCGATTCCAAAGTAAATCGTGAGGAGATCCAAAGCGAGAGCATGACTCTGGAGTGTTGGGGGCGCGGCATCTCAACAAACTGCAAGGATGTACCACGCGAGAACGCGATTGCTTGATAACTTTGACGAAGTTCCGCTCTAAAGCGCGATGTTGAATATTCTGTGAGGAAGTATCAAACGGGAGCCGCTGCTGTTGCAAACAGGGGGCAAAAGCACGATCTGAGGCGAAGGACATTTCTTGGCAACAAAAAACAGGGTGCGAGTCCTGGGGGGGGAGCACTTCAAATAAATACGTAATGAACACCAGGGTGACCAACCAACATTTTTCATGCGAGATGAGAACTCAATAAGAATGGCATGACTGTTTGTTTGTTTGGTCGCGTGCCACTCAACAGGTAAATCCCAAGCACTCGATACCTGCCCTCTTCGTCTTCGTATGAATAACAATGAAGGAAAAGAGGTGGTACTTGGAAGAACCGTTAGTTTCGCAGCGCAGACGTAGCAGTAGTAAGTGGCAGTAAGTACATTGGAAGAACTAATACGAACAACAAAAGTTTCACAACTAGCGACTAGCAGTGATACTTCGCAGCGCTAGCTGTAATACTTCGAGAGGGGGGGACGAGTCTAAAGCATCCTTTCCTTTTCTGCCCACCTTCCCCCCCCCGCCCTGTGCGCTTCGTAATGTGATCCTGAATGAGAAATTAATGTTCGTCGGTCGTCCAAGGGGGTAGCCCATCCCAGGGTACCACGGCCGCCCCGCACGGAGCGGTATCTTAGCGCCGGGGGGGCGCGGAAAATAAATAGCTCCCGTCATTCGACAAAACGACATATGCGTTTCTTACTATCGGTCTTAGTAAGTACGGTAGCTTCAGCAATAAGACATACATGGAAATCACGTAAGTGATAATAAGGGTAATATGAAATGAAAATAATAGTAATAGCCGGCCTATTAATATCCGTAGTCGTAGTAGTGGTAGCAGCAGTAGCAGTAATAATAATAATATTGATGTTAATCATAAGCGCATTCAGAGGCATGGCCGCAGTACTTAGAACGGCGCCTGAACTGACCGAGCTTGGTTGTACTGGAACAACTGATGAATCTCCCGACGAAGCGGGAGCGGTACTATGCAATACAAAACGTCGTGCTAGAAATGCAAAGTAGCAATACGAATACTTGTAGGAATCGTGGTAGTCATCGCCGTAGTATTCCTAGCAATACTTGACCTTATAAGTGGTAGTGCTATGTAGCAAGGCCCTGGAGCTCAAATGCGAGCACCAGTCATAGCAGTCGTAGTAGTGTCTGGCTGGAAGTAGTCGCTCTAGTGGCACAAATAAAGGCACAAGTAGTGGTACTACGACAGGCAACCACAGTAACATCATGATTAGTGGTGGACATGGCAGTGCGAATAATAATAGGAAATGGTAGTAGTAGTAGTAGTAGTAGTAGCAGCAGCAGTAGTAGTAGTAGCAGGTCGTAGCAACAGTAACAGTAGTAGTAGTAGTAGTAGTAGTAGAAGTAGTAGTGGTAGTAGTACTAGTAGTAGGTAGTACTAGTAGTACTACTAGTACTAATAGTACTAGTAGTTCTAGTAGTAGTCGTAGTAGTAGTAGTAGTAGCAGTAGTAGTAGTAGTGACAGTATAAGTAGCAGTAGTAGTAATAGCAGCAGCAGCAGCAGTAGCAGCAACAATAGTAGCGATTAGAGTGGTGGTAAGTAGAAGTAGTGATCAATGTTGCCATGCCGTCGTGGTAGTACTATCGGTGACTAAGAGCTAGTACTAACATACTTATATGTGTATGTGTGTAGTGATATGGTGATGATAAATAGTGAGTAGTAGTTAGTAGTAGTAGTTAGCAGTTAGTAGTTAGTAGTTAGTAGTTAGTAGTTAGTAGTTAGTAGTTAGTACTTAGTAGTTAGTAGTTAGTAGTTAGTACTTAGTAGTTAGTAGTTAGTAGTTAGTAGTTAGTAGTAGTAGTAGTAGTAGTAGTAGTAGTAGTAGTAGTAGTAGTAGTAGTAGTAGTAGTAATAGTAGTAGTAGTAGTAGTAGTAGTAGTAGTAATAGTAGTAGTGGTAGTAGTAATAGTAATAGTAGTAATAGTAGCAGTAATAGTAGTAGTAGTAGTAGTAGTAGTAGTAGTAGTAGTAGTAGTAGCAATAGTAGTAGGGGTGGTCATAACTAGCTAGGACGGAAAAAAAACAGCATTGAAATCTGTATTTCGTAACACTAGTTGCAGCTCATGGACCGAAGCTTGAATCCGAAGTTTCCTTTTCTCTCCCTCTCTCCCTCTCTATCCCTCTCTCTATCCCTCTCTCTCTCTCTTTATCTCCCTCTCTCTCTCTCTCCTCTCTCGCTCTCCGGACCGCCCCCGCCCTGTACGATTCTTATTGCCATCCCCAATGAAGGATTGCTATTCGTCTGCCGTCTTAGGGATTGGCCCATCCCTAGGTACTGCGCCCGCCTCGCACGGAGCTTTACCTCATCACCTGGAAGCGCGGAAAACGATTTGCTCCCGCCATCCAACGAAGCGATGGAACTAAATTCTCAATACTATTCGTGGTGAAAATAATGGTGGCGGCAATACGAATACTCGAGATACTCATACTACGATGTTGCGATTCAAATGACAGCTTTGGGCACACTCGGAAAGATAACATTGATAATCGTAATAGTGTTACTCTTCTTTTTACGGCTCGCGACTTGGAGTGATACTTCGTAACACTAGTTGCAATACTTCTTGAAGGGGACCAAATCCAAAGTTTCCTTTCTCGTTCTGCCCACCGCCCCCGCCCTAGGATGAGAAAATGATGCTCGTCGGCCGTCCTACGGGGTGGTCCATCCCATGGTCTCGCGCCCGCCCCGCACAAAGCGTTCTTAGCACCTCGGAGCGCGGAAAAAAATAATGCCCGCACGCGTCGTGACGATAGACGTACTTCGCAATAGTAATCGTAGTAGTAATAACAGTTTGAGCTCGCACCAGTAGCTATTTGATTCAGATTAGTAGTGGCCATACTAAAACAAGTTGGTAGATCACAGTAGTTGTATTAACTCTAGCGGTAGTGCTCGTAGTACTAGTAGGTGCAGTTACGCTTACACATCGCACGAATTCTTAGTAAGATGCTTCAGCCAAATGACTAGGAGTAGCAATCATGCTAAGAAATTAATCGTACTGGCAATAGCGGTAGCGAGAACAAGAGGAAACCGAACTGGTCGTAGCGTGAACTACGACGTAATTAGTTGTGATATAAGAATAATGTTTGTGTTGTTTTGTGTACGTCTGTGAGTATGCATCCGTCACAGCAGCCTTGTTCGTGGAGGTGGTTGCCAATCGTGAAAGAGACGTATCGCCAAACGACCCCACTAAAGCAGCTCCCCAGGCTGGGCGCGCCGACATCTTGTTCGAGATTGGCAACCAGGGGCGAGTCGCACGGAAGGTTGTGTACAAGCACGGAGAGACAGACGCTGCATCCGGATCGGTGCCGGAAGGACAGCGCCTCTGCCGGATCGAGCCGGGTTGGTACCGGCAGCAGTGCTCCGTGGCATCGGAACAAAAACAGGCGCGACGACGAGCCGAGCAGCACCAGGACGCTAAGCTACCATGTCTGCCGGGAGTGCGGTCTCCCCGGGCACTGGGACATTGCGTCTGGACGAAACGCTCCCTGACCAATCTGGCGCGGAACGCGCTGCCTAGGAAGCGCCAGCGCACGCAGACTGACAATGAGGAACAGCGATGAATGTCAACAAGACGTCTTCGAAGGAGAACGTACCAGAGCATCTCCCCCTGAGCGTGCGTGCAGGTAGCAGTAGCAACGGAGACAGCAAGCAGGGCCGCTGCCATTTAGACTCGGGCCAGCGCAGAGCTAGCCTGTTGCATCGGACTGGAACACATTCGGTCGATCATCTACTTGTCAGCGGCCCGATAGGCACGCCCTAATACGACACCTCTGTCGAGTCGCCGAGGATCCTCACGAGCTTGCTCAGCATCGTCATCACCATCCTGTTCTGTTGCAGCACGATGTGTAGATCGGCACTCCGGGCCTCCCCTCGAAGCCTCTCCATCCCTGTCACGAACTGGACAATGTCGACAGACCCGCTACCTTGTAGATCCAACAAAACAAAAAACTGTTTTGCGTCTTCGATGTCGACGCGCAGCGCGGAAAAGTAGTCGATGATCTCCTCTTGTTTCAAGCTCTCTTCGAACTCTTCGAAGGTGACAATGTTGTCGCGATTGCTGTCCATGACCTTCAACAAATCCAGAAGCTGAGTTTCCTTCGCTCGATCATCGAGCCGCTGCTTCTGCACCGCCACCATCCGATCGTTCTTGGCGAGCTCAATAGCGCTGTCGACGAAGAGGCCATTCACTACATTCACCACCTTCGCACGCGGCCGAACACCAATCACAACGATTAGCGTGATTACGTGTAAAATCCATTACTCTGGCCGAACACTAACCCACTGCCCCGGATTGTCGTTACCCCCCCTTCCCACCTGAGTGATTATGATCCTGGGCGAATTCAGTTTTGGTCGCGGAAGAGAGGCGGCAAGGCCGAACTTGTTCATCGCGGGGAGAAGTTGCGAATCGAAGCTGCTCTCCATATTTTGAATAACAAGGACTCCTCAATATTCCGATTGATTTTCTCCGCAATCCTATGGATGTCCGAGGGAAAGTCCGGGATGTCCGGTGGATTCCTCTGGATTTCCCAAAAGAAATCCTACGGATGTCCTCAGGAATCCTATGGGTCTCCTATGGAGTCCTAAAGCAATCCTATGGAATTCATAGCGAATCCTTTGCATTCCCTACGCAATCTTCCAGATTTCCTATGGAATTATATAGATTGGTTTCGGAGATCCATCGGATTCTACGGAAATATATAGGAATCCCCCTAGGAGTCCTTGAGAAATCTACATGAATCATTTGGAAATCCAGAAGGGTACGTTGGAAATCCCTTGGCTTCCTCGGAAATCCATACGATCTATGGGGAAATCTATTGGAATCCTTTGGACAGCCATCGGTTGCCTGAGGAAACCCCTTCGGATTCCGGAGGGAGCCCAAACGATCCCTTAGGAAATCCATTGGGTTCCTAAGGACATCTATCGGATGTCTTAGGACAGCCATGAGGTTCCTGAGGACATCCATATGAATCCTGAGGAAATACTGAAGATTCCATTTGGGAAATCCATAGGACTCCTGTGGACGCCCACAGGATTCTGGAGGAAATCCATAGGATCCATACTAATGAAATCCATACGGTCCCTTAGGACATCCATCATAATCCTTAGGAGATACATAAAAATCCAGAAAGGAAACCAGTAGGATTCGTTTAAAAATCCATAGGAATCGGACATCCATCGGATTCCCTTAGGATATCCATAAGAATCCTTAGGACATCCACAAGATGCCTTAGGAAGCCCATCGGATTTGTTATGACATCCGTAGGATTCCTCAGGAAACCCATATGATTCCGCTGGAAATCCATATGATTCCTTAGGAAATTCATTGGAACCCAAGAAATCCATAGGATTCCTGAGGACGATGCGCCAAAAAGGGCGGCGGTACCATGCGGACACTGCCACTGGGACCTTCGGTGGAGCTCCCTCTGGAGCCACGAACCGTGTGAGGGGTGTGCCGACATGGACATGCGGAGAACAGATGAGTGATGGGAGGAGAGGCACGGATGGGAGATGAGGGGGGAGGGGGCAGCGGGAGGAGTGAACGCGGGGACCCTCTCGTCAAAACGAAGACCCAACACCACAGGACGGTTGGGAAAAAAAACAGAGATTAGCCGAACAAGCGATTAACGAACGCTTGTGACGAAAACAGCCCAACAAGTGATTAGAACATGCAAAATTCACCACCGAGAAGAGGGTGAAGAACATGAACACAACCAAGACAGTCTGCATGACCCAGCCAGGCCCGCTCATCAAGTTTGAGGCCACGCCCCAGTTGATGCCTCCAGACATGCATTGGAACAGAGTGTACATGGTCTGGAACAGTGAACCGAACAGGAGGCTTACATCCTCATGATCGGTAGGCACTTGATTGTCAAGGGAATGCAGGTAGTCCGTGGCGCCCTGCGTCAGTATTATGGAGAAGGCGTAGATCATGCCAAGCAATATTACCAACAACCAGAATAGCGACTGCAGCGTTCCCATAATCATGAGCAGCAGCACCCGAAGCTGTGAGATAAACCTCACTGTGCGAATGACGCGTATGATGCGGAACATCCGGACGAGCCTCCCAATCTTTGAGAAGAGTACACCGGACTCTGCATTGCTGTGGTTGAGCAGCAAGTCGACCCAGGCGGCAACTATCAGGATCAAGTCGAACACATTCCACCAACGCTCGTCGCTATCGGTGAGGAACCTGGAGCGGTAAACAAAAAGCCGCATGATGATTTCGACTGTGAAGACCATCGTGAACACTATTTCTATATGGTCGAACCACTCGGGAGTTGTGTTCGAGGTGGCCCGTAGATGCACTTCCACCCCAATCACCAACGAGTTGAGAACGATTGCGAGGGTGACCATGCAGTCAAACCAGCGAGACTTCACATGCCTGCCCAACTCAGAGTCGAACTCCTCGGACTTCATGCGCTTCATGAGCTCCTGCTCCCTCGAAACCTTGGTCAGCCTCCTCGACACCTTCCTGAACAGGCTCCCGTTACTGCTCCAGCTTTCCGTCCCGTCCTGTTTACTCCCTCGCTTTCTGTCGTGCGTGACTTGATCTTCGTCGAAGGAGCAGTCCTCGCGAGGGCTGCTTGGTGAAGGGGGCTCGTGGCCTTGACTCCGCGGCGTGCCCACTCGGGCCGCCTCCTTCTCGCAGCTCCTGCCGCTGGCATCTGGTGGCTGGGTACCACGCTGACCTAGAAGCCTCCCAGATGGAGTCCGAGTAGGCGGGGTCGGAGCATCGCGCCGCATCACCGATGCATCGGCGACGTCGGCGATGCACCGGCGCCGCTGGCGAAGAAAACCAGGATTCACCTCGAGTCGCATCGCCGATGCATCGGCGACGAGGCGCGACCCTCCGACCCCATCCACTTTGGTCCGATCTGGGAAGCCTGGATGACCGCCACGGCTGCGCGGCGAATCCTGTGGCACTGCCGCGGCCACGGGGCCCGACGGCGTCATGTCGAACAAGCTCGAGGACCCGCGCTCGAGAGTGCCCGACCGCTCCTTGTCGAACAAGCTCGAGGACCCGCGCTCGAAGTTGGCCCCTCGAGCCTGCTCGAGCAACAAAAACGACCGACACAACCCGTCGGAACTCCGCGCGACTTTCTTGGATCTGCGCTGGAACTCCCTGGCGGCGCCTCTGGCGCCGCTCCTGGCGCGGTCCGCGCGCCGAAGAAGGAGGGCCCATCGCCGATCCGAGAAATCCGCGCGGACCTCCCAAAGATCATGTTCACAGTCCCCCCTCCGAGATCCAGCCCCCCAGCCAGTGGGGCCAGGCCCTCCACGGGCTTCGCGATCCGCTGCCAGTCGAGCGCCGTGGCGACGCCGTCCAGCTTGGACTCCACCCGCTTCATCCACTCGGCGAGCTCGCTTTGCACGTCTGGACCCATGCCTACGCCGACAGCCTTCCGAAAAGGGTGGCGAAAGATGGGAGAGACGCCTAAGGCCGCAGAGGCCGAGAAATCTGGGTCCCTCTGAGCCGATATGGATGCGGCGGTTTCGTGTCGTGAGGACCCTGGCGTTGTTCTGTTGTTGTTCATGCATAAAACAGCGTGGATGGTTCAACCTTCAACGATCGGCGACTTTCCGACCGCCAGATCGTTCCACATTCACCAACGGCGCTACTGCGGCATGCAACCTTGAACGCCCGCGCCAGCGTCGCAGCGGCGTCGACACGACACGAACCTAACGCATGGAGGTTAGGGCAAGTCTTGAAAACGCAAACGAGCGGCCCACAAAAACAATAAAAATGGCAAAAGACGACACGCCACGCGCAACGTGCAGCGGGTTCCAGGAACCCTAAATCAGAAAAGAAACATAGATTGGAGACCGAGTTCTTGTCACGGCTACATGGTCATGTGGTTTTGGTTTTAACTCAACACCCGGGAGAAAAACGGGCGTGGATTCCTTGAGTGGCCACTGTGTCCCTGCACGTCGCGCCTAGAGGTTTCCCCGCGCGCTGAATTAACGACCCGGGACATTCGTCGCGCCTGCCGCTCGCGCGCGACTGCCGGCGCTGGCGTGAGCAGGCTGTTCCCTCGCCTCGCTCGCGGGGCGGTGCGCGAGCGATTCTCGCGTAAAACCCGCGGGAATGGCGAAAAACGCGACGCTTGATGGCGCGCCCCGGCGCCAATAATAACAGCATGAATGGAACGCTCTCGCGCGGTCAACGGGCGATATATGTGCACGTTGAGAATGAAGGACGGCGCGTTGTGTGGGACGCACAGGGACACACTAATACGATACGTCTTCCTTGGAAGCGCGCGTCCGACCCGAACATATAGTATACCCATGTTGTAGTCGTCTCCCGAGCGGTGTGGCCAGAAACCGCCCGCCACAACGCATGTACTAGAAGATGTCTCGGTACGCGCGTCGCCCCTGGGGGGGGCGACGCACAAATAGTAGGAGTATGTTGGGGTGACGCCGATTGTGGGAAATCGTCAGATCAGAAGCCGCAGCGCAGGCGCCGCAATGATGGCGGGCTGTTGCTGGGCGCGCGGCGGGGCAATGCGGCTACGTTCGCGGCACGGCGCGAATCGATGCTGGCCGAAAGAAAATTGTTCGCCGGCGGTGCCATGAAAGGCACCGCCATTCATTGAAGGTGGCCCGCGGCCGCCAGGATTGCGAATATTGGCATTGAGCTAGCGCTGGCAGGAAGGAGGAGGGGAGGGAGGGAAGGGGACGGAAGGCGAATAGACAGGAGAAGGGAGAACGGGAAAAGGAGGGTAATCCAATGGCCCATACAAGGGCGACGAGGCGACGATGCAAAGCAATGCCCTGGCACTGCTTTGAACGTTTTCAAACAGTTTCAAAGCAGTGCCCTGGCACTGCTTTGAACGTTTTCACAGGGGGGTCACACGCGACATCGCCAAACGATGACGATGGTGATGCTGATGAATATCAAGATGAGGAAGATGATGGCGATGATGATGATGATATTTCCAGCGTGCGCTCTCCGCAACTGCGGCTGCCAACACCATGCTGCACTGGCTCGCAACAGCGGCCATCACCAATGCTGCCGCTCGTTGCTCCACGGGGCGCGCTCGGCCGACCGCCCGTAGGAGCACGCGCTGCGCGTGGAGCCCCACTCGCCCCACTCGGCATTGTTCGCAACTGCGGCGCTGCGCGTGGAGCCCAACTCGGCCCGCCCGCCCCACTGAAGAGGCGAGCCCGCGGCGGCTTTGCCCGCAACTGCGGCGCAATCAGAATGCCGCCCGCCATCAACGCCCCCCCCCATCGACCGCGACTCGGACCAGTCCTGCCATCCCGTCGCGGGATCCACTTTGACCGAGCGCCGCCCCCACTCGGACCGCGCGCCGCCGCCGCAGGCGCCGCCGGACCCAGCCGCCACTGCGGCGTAAGAAGTCTTAGCCGCAACTGCGGTTCCCACCTGGGCCTGGGCGCCCTTCCTGCCGCCTTTCTTGCCCTGCCTTGCTTTCCTCCGCTCCTCCTCTGTCTCAAAACTCTCGGTGGTTCTTCGAGGTGACCCGCGGCCCGCGTCGCGCGTGGAAGCCACCAGGGGGGAGTGCGCTCCGTTTCGCGCCTTGCCGAGGGCGCCTTGCCCGATCTCGTCGTCGAGATTGCCATGCTTGACTTTGAAGGGACAGGGCCCCCACTCGCCTTTCGCGCCACGCGCCATCCTTCGATGAAAGTCCGCAAATTCGGCCGCGGACTCGTCGGACGGCGTCAGAAAGGCGCGCATCATGTCTTCGACGTTCTCAGCCTTGGGCATTCAGACTGCGGCGGCTTCCTGAGGCCATTCGTGTAAACGCAGACGCGGGAAGGATCCTGCCAGGTCGCCAAGGACCCACCCTCGCGGTCGCGCAGGACGCCCCGGCCATGGCGAAGCCTGTAGTCCCCATGACAGCTTTTGAACAGAATCGCCATGCTGTCTGCCCTGGGCTGGCCCCCTGCTGTCTTCCAGGGGGCCCACGCGGCGACGCCCACGCTGCTTCCGCAACTGCGGCGCCGGGACACAAGCTGGAACATGCACATGTTGAAGTCTCCTATGCAGTCCTTCACGCCCCACTCTTGGACGTAGGCGACGAACCAGTTGTAGAAACCATGGGGCTTCTTGACGCCCCAGTCTTGGTTGGCCAAGTCGCGGTAGACTCGCGCCGCCATCACGTGGAAGCCGCCCCCCAGATGGGCCACGGCCTGGCCCAGGTCGACGCGCGCCACCATCGCCTTGGAGTACTTGTTGTGCCAGTTTCGCGCAGGAACCTCCGCAATTGCGGATCGCATCTCCTCCTTCGGCTGGGACTTCTCCCTCTCGTGGAAGCGCCCCCCGAAGTCGACGGCTCTAACGCGGCCGCCACTGCGGTCTCTGATGCCAACAAGGAGGGTCCCTGATGGCCCGCCGCCTCTGACGCGCAGGTAGTTGCTGAGGGTCCGGTTCTGAAGCTTATCGCCCGCAACTGCGGGCGCGCTGTCAATCGCGCCGCGCTCCCCAGAGAGTGCCTGGCCTGTCGCGTCGCCGCACTCGCGCAGGGCGATGATCTGGGCATGGTTCGCGTGGATCTGCGCATACTCGTCAGCGCGTCGCCTGGGTTTCGCTGCCGTCGCTCCGAAGTAGAAGCCGCCCCCCCCGCTTGGGGCCTCGTTTTTTTGCCCCCATGCGTCGACAATGGTTCTTTGCTTCTCGGTCAAAACGCTTGTCTGGATGACGGGCGCCCGCCTCCAGGATCGCATCTTCGACGTTTCTTTCGGCATGTAGTCCTGCGCTGCCGCGACTGCGGCCCCCGCGCCCCCCCGCCGCTCCGCCCCGTCTTCTGCCCGGTAGGCCGTCGAGGACGCGACGGTGCTGTCGCCATCTTGCGCCCCCTGGCCGTCGTCTTCATCCGCGACTACGGCATCGTCGTCATGGCTCCTCTTCTCATTCACATGGATGAAATCCGCCCTGGAGAATCGAGCTCCGCCTTGCACGTTCCCGGACGAGGCGGCCGGACGCGACCGCGCGCGCGCCACCTCGAGCCACGGTGGATACCATCGCGGCGAGAGGGGAGTTGGGGGAAAATTGAGCGCGACTGGGGGTGGGTTCGGATGGCGGGAGGAGACAAGGTGATTGGGGGAGCGGCAGAAGGGTGGCCAAGAGGATTGGCGGAGAGGCAGAAGGAGGGCGAGGACTGCAAGGGGCTGATAAAATATTATTTTCGCAGCATCTGAAGGACCGCATCTGCGATTTGCTCCTATCTCCTGCCCGCGCGGGAGGTGCTCGGGAAAACGCGCGCCCATGCTGGACTTCCCGTGGGTGCGCAACTGCGGTCTCCAGAAGGTATGGCTGGGGTTACCAGCGCCGTGGACCCGCCCAGGGTTCTCACTGTCTCCGAATGCATGAACTGCGACAGCGCCGAGTGGTTCCCAGACGCCGCGTCGTTAGCGACACGTTGCAGTCACCCATCTAAGGTGAACGGCCATTGCTCCTTGTGCTCCTGGCACATCACCTCGTCCCAGTGCGTCTTGAACCGCGCCCACCCACCCCTCTGTTCGTCCGAGAGGGCGCCCGTTCCGCGAGCCAAGCGGTCCGGAACTGCCAACCTGTTTTTCTTGGCCTTGAACTCCTGGGGGCTCCACCGGGCCAGGGCGCGCCCGTTGGCCCGGGCCGCCCCCGCCGCAACTGCGACCTCCTTCCCGCCCCTCAAAGCGGCATCGGCCTCCCGAATCTGCTTCTCGATGTCGTGCAGGGCCTTCGTCCTGTCGGTCGCATCCAGCGCCAGGCGTCACCTTTTCGCCGCCACTGCGGCCTCGTGGTCTCGCTGGGCAGTCAACGCTCGGAGGACCTCGGCGCCCCCCCGCGCCAGCTCTCACAGCCGCTCTTTTTGTTGGCGCTGTTGCTGCCGGCACTTCTGCGCCAGTTTCTCGACGCCCATTTTGCGCGGCACAACTTCCACCTCGGCGAGTGCGTCCGTCAAGGACGTCGCCGCCGCCACCTGCTCGGCCGCCTCTGCCTCGACGGCGCGGCCCACGGATACCGAGGCCCCTCGCGGCCCAGGGCCCGCAACTGCGGCGTCGCAATGCTCCGCCAGAGCCTCGGCCCAGGAGGCATCCTCGCTCGCAGTCCTCCTCGCGCCCCTCCCCCCCTCCCCCGCCTCCTCTTCGCCCTCCGCCTCGCCCCCTCATCGCCTGGCTCTTGGCAGAGCACTTCGTCGCCGAGCCTCTCCCACGCGGCATCTGTGCGCCCGCGTTTCTCGCAAGCGTGAATGAGCCGCGACGCGTCACTGCGTGACCATTGCAAACGTTTCTGCTCGATGTCCCCCCTCGCCTCCGCGACTGCGGCATCCACTTTCGCTCGCAGGCCCCCTGGTTCCCAGAGCCCCGCCGCCTCTCGGCAAATCTCCAGATCGCCCGACTAGTCGAATGGCGTTCGAATTCCCACTTTGAGGGGAGCCTCCGCGGCGTCCAAGTGCAACTGCACATTGCCCAGCACTGACAGCATCAGGTCGGCGCAGTCGGAACGCCGCAACTGCGACACGCGCTTCCCC